ACTAAACACTCTTCGAGTCACGTTCGACATTTCTTCTTATTTCCATGGAGTAATGGATCAAACAGTACCTCCGAAGGTGAATGACAACAGAAGCATCTAGCAAGAGAAGTCGATAAAAAAAAAAAAAAAAAAAGAAGGAAATATCCGGAAACGGTTCATACAGAAAATATGGAAGAAAAGGCAATCCACAACGGGTCCGAGTCAGAACGGAATGACAGACAAACAGTTTATGGGTCATTTTAAAAAAATAAGTCGTATCGTGTACCGACAGCAACTCCAGTGCCAGTACCCGAATAAAGTAATGACAAATCCCTGTAATTTCAAAAATCAGGTTTGCCCAGAACATAACATGAAGACCATATAAATAATAAAAACACTATTTATGTCAAAAGAAGTAACCCTCTGCCCACAACATAGTGATTTCACTATAAGAAAATACTTCAAAAATATTTTTAATTTACTTTTCCGAAAACTGGTGTGAATATGCACTGATCTCTGTTATAAATGTCCTTTATTGAAATAGAGTGTAATATTTCTTAATAAACAAGTTAAAATTTTAGAAAATATTTCTTAATTATTTTTAGGAATAAACCCACAAAATATAATTAATTAAACCTATTAACACGTCTAAAGTTACATAACTAAAGTGAAGTTATTTAAGAATATAACTTTTATACCCATCCGTAAACATTTTTTGAAATATATTAAAAAGCACTTCTCCCACAAAAGTACAATAAAATAGTTTTTGTGGCCGGCCAAGTATTTCATGTATAAATAATTGAACGTAAAAACCGCAATTGGATAAATATAATAATTTTTGAAGAGAAGTTGGTTGGAATGTTCAGTAAAAAAATAAATAAAAAAAAAACTAAATAAATGATACTTATTTATATATTTGCCGACGTTTCGGCCAAAAGTTGAGGCTTTCGTCGGGACTAAGAAAAGGGCTGAACTTCGGGCCGAAACGTCGGCAAATATAAAAATAAGTATCATTTATAAACATATATTTTTTGTTACTGAACACCCCAACCAACTTCTCATTAAAATTATTATAATAGTGGATTGATGATTGACTGTTGTGAATAATTGAAGAGAAGTTGGTTGGGGTGTTCAGTAACAAAAAATATATGTTTATAAATGATACTTATTTTTATATTTGCCGACGTTTCGGCCCGAAGTTCAGGCCTTTTCTTAGTCCCGACGAAAGCCTCAACTTCGGGCCGAAACGTCGGCAAATATAAAAATAAGTATCATTTATAAACATATATTTTTTGTTACTGAACACCCCAACCAACTTCTCTTCAATTATTCACAACAGTCAATCATCAATCCACTATTATAATAATTTTAATAAACAGATATTTTTGGGGGGAGCCGAGTCAGAACTACGCTTCTTTTATTATATCCAGAAGCCTCCTGGCAAGATGAACAAAGCCTCCAGAGGAACTGAGGTGAATCCGACATCATGCACAACACATTTAATGATAGATCGACAGAAAAAGCCCGGGGCGGACATCTTGTACCCGGCGAGATGTTGGAGGAACGATAGCTCGAGGCAACCCCTACATCCCATACTACCCAATTATGATCTAATGCCCTCCTCTTCCTGAGGCACTTTGGGTCAATATACATTCCAAGTCCAAGTACAAGGCCTCCGCTGCGAAATACATTACATACACCTAACATTATGCAGCTATGTACTGTTTAGAATTCATAACAATCCAAAATTACATCAAGGATAGATACTAAATAATACAGAAACATTTAATGTTATGGTATTAAATTTGCTCTGAATGTGAATGAACATGATAAAATCATATCACATACGTATTACTAATATTTAGAGACCGGATTTTCATACACTAAAAATCCGAAAACGTGCAGCTAAAAACTCAAAATTTGCAAAATCACGAAATTAACACCTAAAAACGTACAATTAATATAATGAAAGGAGATGGTCTCGGGTGGCGGTCAAAAATAGGCTAAATAGTGGCAAAAATATTTCATTAAAAGCCTTTTTAATAAAGCCTATTTGGCTTTTAATAAAATAGTATTGGCACTGTTTGGCTTATTTATGACTGCCACCCCCGGACCATCTCCTTCCTTTATAATGCAAGGTCAACTATTAAATATTCAGATTAATATAATGTGTAACAAGAAAAAAAAATAAAAAGTTATATGCAATTCTTAAGAATTTAAAGGAAACATTACAAATATAATTTGAGATTATAAGCGTTCTAATATTAGTAATGACCTAGAATAAAACATATTTTTGGGACTTCCGCTCCTTAGAAAAAAAAATCACATAGCGTATAGAAGACCACTTTCCCATCAATATAAAACCTGGGATAATGTAATATCCAGAATTTAATTTTGGACGAGATGCTAATTTCGGCATTATTCAATATTTTTTTTTTAATTTTAACAATGATGAAAAAGGGCTCAAGAATGAGTGAGCATTCAAGTCTAAACAATAATAATATATGTCTCTCTAGCAAAACGGCTATTCTAGGAAGGAACGTTTTTATTGTTGTCCACTACTTGGGGCAAATTCTATTCCATGAATATTCTCCATCTGTATTTACTTCTTCCTTTTGTAAATTTAAATTAGAACCGTTGCTACCGTTACTGAATTAATTAATTTCGGTCTCCGTAATTTCGGTTTTTAAATTATAAATTGAAAATAAACAATATGGTAAAATATAAAGACATATATTCAAATGCAAATATATATTTAAAAATCATCTAATCCAGCTCGAAAAGAGTAACAATGTGCAATTTGATGCAACAAAAATCAAAATCTTAAAATTTAGGTCAAAACCGGAAGTACTACTATATAATATGTCATTCTGCATTTCTTGAAATGTACAGATAATCTGGTTTGAAGTTTTTACACGCAAGCAAATAAAAAGTTCCATAACATGGAAATCCAATCTCTACTGCAATACAAATTATCACGAGAAAAATATATAACTTATATTAATTTTTGTATGCATAAAACCTTGTCAGGGACGGAATTCGATTTAATATTCTTGAATATATTTTTCAATAGTTTTATTATTATTTCAGTTCACTATCAAACGATTTTAAAAACAAAGACAGTTCATACTCCTTGACACTCCGCCTCATTCGATCCCATTACGAAATAGGGTTCGATTTAGTGGGTGCATCCATTGCTCAGAAATAGTTAACATGGACATTTTTAGATTAAAAACAAATTTTGAATAGTGAATTTCTGAAGTTCGTTCATATCCGAATCATATTCAATCAGAAAATTCACGTTGTTGGAACAAAATTCTGGCTCATATTGAATGTAGTTTTTTAATATTACTTTCATTAGTTGATTGGATACTGACATTTAAACATGTTTAGGAATAAATAGAGAAGTAATTGTCCGTAACCAATTTATATGAATAAGTTAAACCAAATTCTTTTAAGAATGACCGATTTTGTTTATTATTATTATATTAGACCAGTAGCTCAGCTGCAAGCTGACAGCGAGACCCGCAACACACTGCTATTCTCGATAAGGCGTTACGATCTATCAAGTTAAAAAATAAAATAAAATAAAAATACGATAGATAAATATAATTACAGTAATATAAATTTAACCAGTTTATCTTATATTTTTATATCTAAAATCACTTGGAGATCGTCATGAACGAGATTTATTAATAGTGAAATTTCCGGCTTATTATTACATAAAATGTTCATATGTTATAAAAAGAATCAGAACGAAATAATCATCGTTAATACTTTTGTAGGTATATTAAGAATTAATTTAATGTTTATATTCTAAAATGAGCTGGATTAGATACAATTGAAAATAAACGATCCAACTATAAAAATATTATTAACCTTACATATTGATTCCAAAAGTGTATTATATTTTTATAATACTTCGCCTTATTATATATTTCATTCAGAGACAGATTGTAATATTTTTCAATAAATAAGTTCTGATGAAAAAAAATAAATAAATATACATATGTGTGGGGAAATTAAAAAAAAATTAAGCTAAAAATGAAATGAAAATAAAAATTGGGAAGAGAAGCAAATGTAAACAAGTCTTTTCTCAGAAGTTATCAAAGGAATATGTAGGTTATTTTTCTTTTTCTATTTATAAATTATAATATACAACAAACCTTCTCTATACATATATTGATAAAATTAAATAAAATCATTACCGTGGTATTAATAAATATCTAATAATTTTCTTAAAAATTCTTAGAATACTTAACAAAAATAGGAATTTTATACTGAATAATATACACATTGTGTATATATCTAATACATTATCACGCAGATTTGACAATACTTTAATACATAAAATTAAATTTAAAATAAATGGAGATAATAAAATAATATATATTAAATTAATGTTGCAACGTTGAATAACTACGACTGCTTTAATTTTTATCTATAACAGATTAATTAACTAATAATATACTTAACAATATTACAAGAATGAATAAATAGCATATTGTAGAAATGGTTCTACAATACATTTGCATACTTTTTAAAATAAAAACGTCTAAATTAAACAACATAAATGCAATATTCACGAGACAACTGATTCATTAGCAACATTTCGTTCGGCCGAAGCGTTAAAGTCACTCATTCTCCATGGAAACATTCAAAATATCTTTTAATATAAATCGAAAATATTTAATACTATCGTTAATATTTACATACAATGGACAGAAATTAAATTATTTTTAACAAACTTCTAAGATTACCGACAACGGATAATTATTTTAAAGCACGTACAAGGATAAATTAGCCATGGTGCCTTATCGGTATTGTCAAGTTTGAAAATCAATAAAGATGAAAAAACTTCCTTAAAAATAAAATTGTGTAGCTGAAAAACTAAAAGAATAATACCCTAACATAAACGAATCTTGCAGTGTTGTAATAATGATAAATAATAATAATGTGTATAATCTAATTGGATACAATTTAAATAATTAGATATGAAAGTAATGAGAATAATCAATTACCTTCAACTTTGCCCATGGCGAGAATGGTGATGGTTTTAATAGCTGGTACAGCCCAAGCTGCTAAATGAAAATACTGAGAATTCGCTTCAATGGCTTCATGACCCCATTTCAATCCAGCGGCAAGGAACCATGTCAGAGTCAATATCACCCACCAAATAGAGGATGCCATACCGAAGAAATAGAGAACCATAAAAAGTATAGTGCAAGGCTCGTGTTTAGTTCCCTGAGTTATAGTAGGGACCATTGGCAACCTAGGAATATCCACGGGAGATGTGAACGGTTTTCTGCAAGCAATACTGTCACCTGAGCTGAAACCAATAATGTATGCCGAGGCGACCATAAGATAGCATAGAGAAAGAAATATGATTGGCCTCTCTGGGTACCTGAACCTGTCTGTATCTATCATAAAGGTGAGAACGGTGAAGAGGCACGAAGCAGCGCAGAGGATCGCCCAAACACCCACCCAGATCTTTGCGAATTTTCGCTGCGTTTCGGAAAAGAACATTCCGTCGCAGGGTGCACCACAGTCTTTTTCTATTTTATCTCCCACCTTAAGCTGATAGTCCATACCTTTTGGTACCTTGAACTGAGCCGGACAAACAAATCCATAATCGACAGCACCTTCAGGTATCTCTTCTTTCGGAGGTGGTGTTTGAACAAATTTGTTTTTATGAGTACTCCCGTTATTAGAGGTGTTGTTTTCACCTACGCAAATATCTGGAGGTTCAGGAAATTTTTCACAATCTAGATTTTCTGGCCACGAAAAACCGAATTTGTTCATTATTTCTTCGCAGCCTTGCCTAGCTGACAAACAGAGCGACCGACAAGGCGGTATAGGACGATCCAAAATTGTACACACAGGGACATACACGGAACATAAGAAGAACTGGAGATTAGAATTGCACTTTATTTTCACTAATGGATAGAACTGGTGCACTTCGAGAGCCGCGTCCTCCTGTTTGGCATGGTTTAAGATATTTGGCATGATAGTGTCATTATAAGGCATGTGTTGACAAAATGGTACAGTGATAGGCTCGCATTTGTTGTGGTGAGGTAGGCTGTCGCGCTCTGAAACACGGGTGGTTATCTTGCCCTGGAAGCCAGCAGCAGGGCCAAATAATAGAAGCAGCCAGAACATTTCACTTCCTTTTATATCAGGCACATATTTCGTACGAAGCCGAACACAAACATAATACCGTCACTGATACAACACTACCGGCGTCACAAGCACGACTGAGCGCTAAGGTTACAAATGGCTGACCATCCACTGCCTTCCTGTTTATCCCTACTACTTCTTGAGAGGGAAATTTGAAGTGATAATCGTATAATTCTTCAGAGCTTGAATTTTTTTAAATTTTAAAACCGATAACTATTTTCAAACATACGAAATCGACTTCCTGACATAATAATATTAATAATATGTCCCCCAGGATAAATTGAGAAGTACTTAACCTGTTTTAGGTAGGTTACATTTGTTTGTTGACATAGGTTCAAAAGAATTGATGTTTTTTTAGATGTTTTGTTATTTATAAATACATTGCCTTGACGGATCATAAATATCAAATTTATTTAATAAAATACAAAAGTTGTTTGTTATTTATTTATTGTCCCCATTTTCTGAGGTAATGTTTACTTATCCGTTTATATCTGTATGATTTTATTGCTCGCTTATTTCCATTCTTATTTTTGTTGATCTATAGATAAATTTAACAATCTGTATAGTCCATTATTTATTACAATTGACACTGCATATTTCTTAGATTGTATCAATTTCATTTGATCTGTAATTCTTGATCTAAAATGTTTCAATTGATAAAAAAAACAATTCATTTTCGTATTTATTCTCCTTAGCATATTGATAATTTCTATTACAACTATTTTCTTCATTTATTGAGGCTGAAAGACTTTGTTCAACGATAACATAAATTATACTGTACATTCGCAGTGTAAAACCAAAATTTGATTCTTTAGAATGTTGCTCTTTCATTATATTGGACTGAGCAATTTCTTTCTCTAACCTACAACCTACATTAAATTTTCCTCAAGCAGTGTTTTTAAACTAGCAGATTATGTGCAGACTAGTAATTTTATATTCTGTAGCTGCTAAAAATGATGGTTTATAATAGATATTATACTTAAGAAATTAAGTTTCTGCTTGGGATATTTTATTGTTCAAACTAGAGTTATATATATATTCAAACACTTGAAGTGTTCTGAGAATCCAGATTGTGAATATTTGAACATCTTTACATTTATTACATTATTTTGAAATGTGTTTCAGAATTTAAAACTATAAACACTTTAAACGCCTTACTCTTATCATGAATGTATAGAATTTTGTTTTCTGTTTTGAACTATCTGTTTCTATCACTTAGTTATCATGACTCCTTTCTCTAAGGTGTATAAACACCACAGAACAACATACATAGTTGGCGCAACAACCCGTTACCGGGTCTAGGGCTCCTCTAAAAGTCTCCGCCAGTTGGCTCTATCTGTTGCTGCAGCTCTCCAGTTCCTAACAACCACTGAACAACTGCATTTACAATCTAGGAAAGATATTGAAAAATTACTAATGTTTCTAATTTTTTGTGAGCACACATTTATTGAAATATTTTCGCCATATGATTTCTTTCAAGTATAATTAAAAATTCACATATTTTATTAGATTTTACTGACAACAGTTTATTTAACAGTCTTTATAAACCTTTAGTGACTGCAGACAATAAATATGACAATTTTTTCTCAATAATTACGATGCTAAAATTTTTATATTTACAAACTAGATTGAGGAAATCTCAAACGTTAATTTATCTTCATAAACTGTTGACAAGATCTTATACATTATAAATTTTAATATTAGTTCAATATAGAAAATGTCAACAAAATTGTCCCACACCTATAAAAACTATTAGAAGACATGTTTAGTTTTAAAGGAACTATTAATAAATAGATTGTATTTAATATTTCATAACGTATTAAAAATAAAATTAAAATAAGTAATATTACATAGATTAATGGGTAAGTAATGCACTCAAATTACAAACTTTTACTCGTATGTGTAATAAATCTCTTAATACACAAAAACTGATAATAAATTTTTAATGATGAAAAAAAAATCATAAACATTTGAAATGATTCCCTTCATGTTATTTACTTGAGATATTTTGTTCATTATACCTTTAATATGGTACTTCTTAAAACAAGCATTAATGATGTCCCGTAAATTGGGACCACATGGACAGAAAGTTAGAAATGAATTTAGGATACGGTCCAAGTAGCACTACTTAAAGTCCTTTATTGACCTTTACTTTCTGGCTATATACCTATATTTATATTACCTATATATTTTTAGTCTTGCTATTTGTTAATATCCTAAATAACATTCCATAGTCTTAAAGCAATACTCACTCCTTAGTAATTGCTGCTATAAAACTGAAATTAATATTAAGATTCCTTAACTATTTAGATTCTCACAAAATAAATTACAAAAATGCTATTATATCAAAAAAGTAATTGTAAAAAAAGTTGCATGCAACATTTTTCTAGCCTCCAATCAATTAAAAAAACTAAGAAGACACTTTAGATTAAATTAGAATTTCCCTAGAAATCAAGCTATTTAATGCATCCTCTGTTCCTCCAGTCCTGAGGTTCTAAATCTTTTAGTAATAAACTCTGTTGTAATATAAACTAAACTAATTGAATTGAATAATTTTCAATTGTATGATTATTTTGAGGTCAAGTATAAGAAAACCACTCGGTATGAAACACATAAGTTAAAAGATCCTTCTATAAGCCAGCAGTTCAAAAGATCTGTCAAAGAGAAACTATAAAGCGTATAACCAGTTGCAACAATTAGCAAATGATGGGGTATATTAAGAGAAAGAATGCACGACGCCGCATAGAATATGTTTGGGCTGAAAACTTCTGACAAAGGGCACCCTGGTTTGATTTGGAATATAAACTGGCAACAGGTGAGAAGAATACTGCATATCGCATGATGATTCAGAGGTGCCTCCACCAGAGCATCTGTGGAAGATTATAGGAACAAAACATAATGCATCACTGGAAGAAAAGATCTTGGTAGAGGAAAGAGTTGGAGGAAATTGAGACATTTCGGTCCCAGAATGAGATCAGTAAGTTTTACTTCTGGATTGACAGATCCCGCCAATCATTCAGGCCCCGATTGAATGTATGTTAACATATAGATGGTTCTCTAATCACAGAGAGAAAATGTTATTGGATGTTGGAAGAACCACTTTCAAAACCTCTTAAATGGTGACTTCATGGAAGAACAAATGCCACATAGGACCAATATCAGGAGTGAAGAGTTGGAACCACTAGATGAAGAGGATATAAGGTACACCATAGATTGGTTGAAGAATAATAAAGCACCAGATGTGGACGGAATAAAGGCTGAACTTTGGAAACATGGAAGAGAAGCTATCTCTAAGAATAATGATCTCCCCATGAGATAAAAAACACCTGGGTAGTGGAGTGGTTTTCTGAAGAATGGTACAAAACTACTGTATGTCCCATTCACAAGAAGGAAGATCCTCTTAACTGTGAGAGCTATAGAGGATCATCCCTCCTTCCTCTGCTTATAAGATATTTTCCAATGTCTACTACCTTTCGTTGAAAAGAAAATAGGTAAATATCAAGCAGGGTTTATGAAAGGCAATGCTACGACGGACCAAATCTACTTGGTGAGAATGATGATGATGAAGAGAGCAGCTGAGTATAATATACAGACACATCACCTCTTTGTGGATTTCCGAGCTGCTTATGATAGCGTGATTCGAGAAGAGCGTTATGATGGAATGATTGTCCTTGACATCCCTCTGAAGCTAGTCCACCTTGTCAGAATGACCATGAAGTTTCTCAGCGTTCAGTCAGAGTGCCTGGAGATACATCTCTTTTTCCATAGCAACAAGGGACTGAGACAAGGTGATTGTTTAGTATGATGATTAATCTTGTGTTGAAATGTGCCATAAAAGAGTTGGGAATCCAAATAGAAGGGACAATTTTCAACAAATCATGCCAAATTCTTGTTTATGCAGACAATTTGGATGTCGTAGGACGCAATTTTCTGAGTATGAAAAGCACCTTCCTAAACTTGCAAAAGGCAGCCGTTATATATATGGATTGCAGGTGAACAAGTCCAAAACAAAGTATATGCTCTGCAATACTAAAAGAGGAGAATATACAGGAGGGAGAATAAAAATTGGGGACTTTAACTTCGAATGTGTCGAGGAATTTATTTACCTTGGGACACTGTTGAACTCAACTAATAATATGCAACCAGAGTTCAGAGGCGGATTATGGCAGCTAATAGATGCTATTTTGGGCTACAGAAGCATCTAAAAAGTAAATCTCTCTCTAGGGCCACCAAGTTACTATCTATAAGACTCTGATCAGACCCGTCCTCATCTATTCATCTGAGTGCTGGACGATGAGGAAAGCACTAAAGAAACAGCTCTATCAAATTCGAATGAAAGATTTTAAGGATTATGGGACTACACATATCAACGGTGTCTAGAGATTGAGAAAAAATGCTGAGATTATGAATCTCTACAAGGATCTTGATATCGCCCATTTAATAAATGCTGGACCTCTAAGATGGGCAGGGCATATTGCATGAATAGTAATGAAGTGCACAAATTGCTCCTCAAAGAAAAAATATTTGGACGTAAAACGAATCGGAAGACCATGCAAGCATTGGATGGATTGCATAACAGTAGATTCTCAGAAGCTGTTGGAATAATAAAAAATTGGAAAGCATCAGCACAAAATAGAGAAGATTTTACGGTGGCTCCGAAATAAGAGGAGCCTTGATTCTTCAATCAATTGTAGAGAAATAGAAGAATATTATATTCCAACACAGTACTTGTTTTAAATTTTACAAATGAACGAATGAAAATATATTTTATGTTTTGGGACTATTGTCCCTTTAGAACAAATTATAAGTACAGAATGCACATCTGTGTGGTCATAAATAAACTAAATATTCACAATAATAGTTAAAAGCATACATATATATAAGACAAACAAAGAAAACTAAAATAACATAAAAGTGTAATTAAAAAAAAAATCAAAATAGCAAAGCCTTATATTCTATTGTTCTACTTTCTTTGGATACAGTATTATTTTAAATTGGTTGCCACTTGTGGAATAGAAAACAAGGAAAATAAATAATCAAGGAAAAATTTCAAAATTATTTTAAATTCAGAATTCTTATTTATTAGATGTATCATAATAAGTTACATTTTTGGAAGTGGAAATACACATTTTCCTCTGTTCACAAACTGAAGAGTATAAGTACACATGAAGAAAAAAAAAATCTCTGGCATCTCAATAATTTATTTCGTTATTGAAATGCACAACTGTATTTATTATTTGTAACAACAGTGGACATCAGCATTCACATGATTGAACAAATACAGCATGATGTTGACCAAAATACTACAATAGAAAATGTAAATGCAAATCCTTAAAGATTATTAGCTTTGGATAATTATTTATTTTGAATCAACTCAAAATCTGCAATGAGAGCAACATGATCTGAAGGAAATAAAGGGCTTGGAAGGGCTGTGTGAGCCTTAACTTCATCTTCTGTGGGTAAAGGTACAGTCTGCAAAAAAAAGACATATATATAATAATCATAAAAAACATATATGCGTATGACAATTAAAATAATATACCTGGCAAAGTTTCAATTTATCGGATTGATAGTAAATATAATCTAAGCACCCAGAAAAGCCAACAGTATAATTTGTAAATTTTGGCTCGCCATAGGCACTTTTCATCTCAAATGGTTGAGTGATATCAAACCCTTCCACAATTTCAGTTTTATCTGTAAGGAAAACTTGTTTTAGTAAATTAATAAACAATTTCTTTGAAAAACTCATAGACTTATTCCTCTTTTTCATATCTCTAATTTCTTGATACAACCAAGGATCAGTGCAGAAATGGAAGGTATGGGTTATTGGTTCAAAGATACTACTGATTAGATTAGCAGTGAAGATGTCCACCAATATTTTAATAATTGTAAAATATTTTTAAAATATTTTTAATATAATTATTATTCCTCAACTAACCAGACTTCCAATCCGGTAAGCTAGCAGGTGCTATTTTCTTAGTCATTAGAGAATATAGACCACAATCAGGGGTACTGTTCATATCACCACAGAATATTAAGCATGTGTTCTTTCCCTAAAAATTATACAAATAAAGTAATTTTAATAACAATAATAATACTAAGATACGAATTATAATTTGTTAGATAAAGATAAAACTGAACCTATATACAAAGTATAATATAATTCTCAAAAGCCTCCACAAATATATTGCACTCACATGACTTTAATACTGATTGCAGTCTAACTTAAAACTACTACCAATTTGTAAATAAATAAATAGGTACACTCAAAATCTGTTTTCAATACGCTATAATTTTTATTAAATTAACATTAAATTTTACTAATACTGTTTCGATTTGGATGATTTGTTTTAGTTTTATTGGAAATTCAATAACCTTTCAGAGAAAAATTTAACATGAAAATCCATTAAAAAATCTGACATATTTATAATACTTTCTTTAGCTAGTAGAAGCATTAAGAAAATAGTAAAAAGTATTCTTGCTAATATTGGTCCCATATTGATGATTTGTTTTTCTCTCATTGGGAATTTAATTACCTATAATAGAATTATATATAAAATTTACCACAAAATTAACACTTTTTAAGCAATGCCCAATGAAATTTTTCATAACTTAATAGCTTTTTCCTTTTTTTTCTTGGAAGTGTACTACATATATAATAATCTAGTGCACACAACACACAATTTTCACTTACCCCTCTACTTTGAATAACAATTATTTTCTGGCAATGAAGGGCTATTATAAAATTTTAAAGTGCATTTTAAATAGTACTAAAGCTAAAAGCTTACAGCTAACAGATCATTAAAACCATTAAAATAACAAAAACCCTATTTATTATATTGATAGTAGATAATAAAAACCTCATTACTACATCTGTTTTTGTAAACAACATAACTCTATTCTCTGAGCTATGTGAGCCTTTCAGTTGAAAGAATGACTAAATCCAATTTCAACATTTTTGAGTAATATTATTTTAGTGATATTTATAGTAGGAAAATTTATAATATCTGTACAGATAGTAAGTAACTTGATTCCAGAGTAGATGATTGCAGTGTTGAAATATAGAACTGTGAATAAAGGTATAAAGTTTCTCACAAGAAATATCACTAAAATTAATAATAAGAAATGTTGGAATTGGAGTTAATCATTCTGTGGACAGAAAGGCTCTTATATGCCTAGAGAAATTTAAAAGTACATTTGTATATTTAACTTCGCTGGGGCTCATTACCCGGGGAGCCTCTCACAGGTGGCAGATGTGGGGATGGTCGGAGGAAATTCTTGAGAAGTTCCTCCTGGCTAAGTCCGATGGGGCCTCCCAGACTTGCTGGAGGGTGTGACGTAGGATTTAACGCCCTACTCAAATATCTTTAGTTCACCATACACCACAAATAGTCATAGATCTCCTTAAGGTAAAACGCTCATTATCCGGAGGTAAACTAGTCCCCCGTTCGGGTCTCCGGGTGGGGACTGCTTTAGGAGATTCATGGCGTAAGTAGAAAAATAGGTATTTAGGTATTGGTACATGGAACGTAAGGAGTTTGAATTTAGCAGGTGGGTTGAAATCGGTCACGAATGAGGTTAATGGGTATAATTTGGATGACGTGACTCTACAAGAGGTTCGCTGGCCAGGGGTGGGATCAATGGGGAAAGGAAAGTAATTAATTAAACTATTTGGTACGGAGGAAATGGGGAAAGGAAAGTAATTAATTAAACTATTTGGTACGGAGGAAGTGAGAATCATTGTTTAGGTACCAGGTTTCTAATTAGGAATAAATTGCTATCCGCTTTGAGGGGCATACAATTCTTTAGTGATAGAATTTCGGTAGCTATATTTCAGGGACATTGGTTTAAAATCGCGCAATAAACATACATTGTTCGACCGAAGATGAAGTCAAATACGAATTTTACGATAAACTCGAACGGATTTATGATAAACTACCGCGAAACTCGCTTAAAATAATTGTAGGTGACGCAACCGCAAAGGTGGGGAGGGAAGTAGTTTATTTCCGACGATTGGTAAAGAAAGTTTGCACTAATATATAGTAATGATAATGGGATCCGTCTAATCAACTTGGCCATCTCGAAAAAACCTGATAATTAAAAGTACTACGTTCAAACATAAGGATATGCATAAATATATCTAGATACATCACCGGATTCATAAACACGAAATTAAATCGATCATGTCTTGATACAACATAGCTAGCAAAGCAATATAATTAATGAACGGTCTTATCGCGGAGCAGAATGTGGGTCAGATCATGAATTAGTAATCGCGAAACTTCGACAAAATTTTAATATAAAAAGAAGAAAAGAAAACAGTTTCGACATCGAGAACTTCAATTTGGAAAATGAAAAAATCCATCAATTAGAACTCAATTCAAGCTAGATGTTAAGAATAGATTTGAAGCTTTAGAACCTTCTGATGAGGACCGCGAGGATATTGACAAGTTATGTGTAGAGATCAGGGATAATATTAAAGCAGGCGGTAACTCGTGTCTAGGCAAAAGGGAAAATAAGAATAACAAACCATGGTTTGATGAAGATTGCTTTAACATGTGCGAGAAAAGAAAAGCCATTAAATTAAAAGCTCTAAATAATCCTAGCGGAGACAATCTGGAGTACTTCCGTACCTCAAAGAATGAAATGACAAAATTGCCCAAAAATAAAAAAAGGGAGTATATTAAAAACAAAATAATAGAAATAGAATAAAAAATAATATAAGAGACTTGTACAAAGGTATAAACAGATCACATAAATGTTTAGAGCCCGTCATGTCTGGAATTAGGGATGAAAATAACAATATTGTGACTGATCCGGTAGACATATTAAATAAGTTTACTAACCATTTCGACAATATTTTAAATACGGGAAATTATAATCTGTGTCCTCCTTCTGAGTACCAGAGTGCTGAACCGTTAATAGAAGAACCAAGTAAAGAGGATATTGAAGAAGCTATCAGAAAATTAAAATTGTATAAAGCAGCGAGCGGGGATCGATAATTAACTAATTAATCCTTGTGAACTAATTAAGGCATGTGGGGAACCAGGAGTTTCTAAAATACATCTGTTGGTTAAAAAGATTTGGGCGAATGAGAAATTACCTGAAGAATGGAAAGAATCGATTCTTATTTCGATTCACAAAAAATGAGCCGAGGACGGATTGTCAACAAAAACAAGGGAAATTTCCCTCCTTCCGGTATGTTATAAAATATTCACTTTAATCTTAACTAGTCGAATCATGGAATACGCCGAGGAAATTATCAGCGACTACCAATGCGGATTCGGGCAGAACCGTTCGACTGTTGATCAAATATTTTCCTTACGGCAAATATTGGAGACAAAATTAGAGTACAACGGTGTTGTTCACCAGCCGTATATTGATTTCAAAAAGGCTTACGATTCTATTGACTGCCAGAAGCTGTATAATATTCTAATGAGCAGGGTATATATAGAAAAAAATATATCATAGAAGAATTTCAATACTCACTAGGCTTTGTAAATTTTTTACTATATTTTCCAAGTATATACTGGCCATTCCTCCTTGGAGAAGTCTTATGTGATCAGCTGAAGGAAAGAAGAATAGGTGAGTGTTTCCAACAACAAAAGTTTTGTCTCCATTTTCTAATATCAAAGCCTGGAATATTAATTTTACTATGTAGCAGAATAAGTCACAAACAAAGAATTTTATGATTATATTTTCAAGTAAATTTTTTTTAAAAAATATACGTAGCCTTTAACTCAGCAAGGTGCATCATTTAATTAAGTAGATAACGGTACATCCAGTACTTTAGTAAGGCTACTAGATGTGGCCAATAATGCACTCTTTATGATTATAAGGTCTAATAAAACATAGCCAATACTTACATGGAAAACCGTTGTCCTTTCTTTCAAGTTATTTACAACTGGTTCATTATTTTTTATAGAATTCCAAATATTCTCAAAAATGGGATCTTTATCAATTGCATCACCAAATGAAAGTTCTTTTACGTCAGCTAACCTATTAAATACACACAGTATACATAATACAATAGCAAGTTTAATTATTTAATAAGACATATTAACTTGAAATATTTAAAAAGACACAAACATATTTGTGAAATGGAACAAATTTTGGGTACTTAAGGAGAAGAAGGTTGGGGGTACAGTCAATAGACACATTCAAATTAATCAATAAAGAACATTTTCTTCAAGTACCTAAATTTTCTTTTGGCGAAAAATGTTGCTATTCCTTCAGCTACTGTGCCACTTTTCCTGGTGAGAACTCCTTGATAACCTATCTCTTCCAAAACTGGACAAAGGTCATTCTTAAAAATTCGTGCATCCACTTCTTGTAAACATATTATATCTGCATTGTAACCTGAAAAAAAAATTATGATTATAGAGACAATTGTTTCAACATTAATTTAGAGAGTGAATGTATTGTCGTTTCAAAGCCTATTACTTATCACTATATGATATTAGTTGGCACATCGTCTCACTATCCTTTAATTTTTATAAACCAAGGAGTTTGTAAATTTCACAAATTTATTTATACAAATCAAAAAAATAAAGCTCAATGAAAATTTTAAACATAAAAATATATAAGACCAGACATATTACAAACATACCTAAAATCTCTCGTATATACAACTGCTTTCTGTAATCAATATTCAGAGCAAAAGGAGGACAGTAAGGGAAAAGTTCTTGTTTAGCTGTAACTGTTTCTGCATAAACTTCTGCCAAAATATTGTAAGAAATGACCCTAAAACTGTTTTTAAAAATTTATTAATAAATAATTGAGTATAACTTATTGTAATAACTTAATACGACCTTCCATCTGGCAAAGGTTCCTTGGTAAAAGCTTGTCTTGCAACAAAAGGGCAATCATTAGGGCCTTCTTTAATTACAGCATTTGTCGATACTTCCACTTCAGGTCCATATATTTTCCCATCACTAGGAATACACCTTAATTTTAACTTACAGTGTAAATATTCTTCAGATAAATATAAAAGTTTAGTCGATTTTTTTATTTCAACCCACTGAGAACTGTTTCTCTCACATTTGTACCACTCAAAGATTGAATTTTTTGGATCACCAAAAATAATTTCAAGTTTACTGGGATAACAATAGGATCCCACCATCAAACTTTGAGGAAGGGAAAGAGACCCTACCCAAGGAGGATTAACAATAACTTTGTAGGTATCACCTACAATATTCAATAAAAGATTCTTTCCACCATCGAAAAAAACAGTTTTACATTGTAGAGTGCTATCAATTTCTTCTCCATCTTGAATTAATTTAACTTCCATTAACTGTGCTGCTTCTTCTGCATCTATTTTCTTTTTTTTAACTTTAGGATTTAAAACTTTCTCAACATTAGTTCGTACTCGAGCTACAAAATCCCCAATGCTTTCACTTAATAATCTATTGAAATTAAATTGTCTATTGACGTTTTTATGAGAAATCTTAAACGTCACTTCAAACCTATCAGAATCACCAATATGTCGAAAATATACCTCATTCATCGCTATGTACTTAAATCTAAAAGATGTGATTTGATGTAGGCAGAGTCTAACAGATCGCTTGTATATTACGTTAAAAAATAACATGATACAATCCTCATTTTAATAGATAATATTGCCAATTTATAGAATTGACACCCAAATGTATTCAAACTTGATGGTCAACAACCCTACTGCTTAGAAACCTCCCACCAGCAAATTCGTTATCAAAGAGCTTCAATAGTATGGGAGGTCAGGGCAAGAAAGGTGACACATTTTAAAATAAAGTTTGGCCTTATAAATTGACCATCTGAGCCCTGATGAGAACAATGCATGTCTACCAGCATAGCTATTGGAATACAAAATAGTGGCCCGGTGAATATAGATAAAGAGCCTATGTAGACAAAAAACTTAATTGAATATAAAAATACCAAGATATAGAAAGATACCAACCCTTTAATTTTAAATAGTATTTACTGTCCTAAGACATGAAATAGTAGTCAGTTACCACATTTGCGGATATTTCTCGTGGAAAATTTTAATTTATGATCCACGACGTTCTCGTTTTTCCGCTTATATCAGTGAAACTATGGCTGCTAGCAAATATTTTTTACAGAATTAGTTATAATAATTTTTTCCCTATTTTGTATAGTTCCCAAGATATTCGTAATTTTCGTTATTACTCAGATTTTAATGTTTATATAAGCCAGAATATATGTGCCAAAACTAAAAGATCCTGACACAAGAACACGTTTTTCAACACTAATGGATGCTAACACAATAGCAATAGATCAAGAATGTGACCTCAACCACAGATGAACAGTAATCAGGGAGGCCATAGTAAACTCAAGTAATGAAGTGACAGAGCCGGTACAAAGGACTTAAATAAGAGATTGGTTTGTTGATGAATGTCGGGAGATGCCCAACCAGAAGAATAAGGCCTATCGAATTACTATTCCAGTGAAACACTCGAAGCTCAACAGATAAATATAGGAAGAAAAGAAGAGCAGAGAAGCGGTTGCAAAAATAAATGGGAAAAAGACCAGCTAGAAAACATTGAAAAATTTAGACAGAAAGGAGAGATAAGGAATTTCTTCCAGCTCATAAACTGAAGTCGTGCTCGTTTCAAGCCAAATGTGAGAGAATGTAAAGATGTAGATGGCACCCTTCTCACAGATAGGACTTATTCTTCTTCTTTAGCTCCCCTCTTTAATGTCTCTCAGCATAGAGGAGCATTCAGCTAGGGATTCCGTTATTTCCTATTTCTAGCTAGGTTCCTCGCCTGTCGGAGGTCCTTCTCCTCGCCCATCAGAGTTGCTCAATGTAGTCAAGATAAGATCTTAGGGCGGCCCCTAGGTCTTCTGCCGTCTGCGACATATTCCATGGTCTTTAGAGAATCTCTGTGGTCGCCCATTCTGATAACATGGCCAAACCACTTTAGCTGACGAGTTTCTAGGAGCTCTTTCAGTGGGACTATCTGCAGTTCCTGAAGAATCCTTTCATTGCGAACTCGGTCTTTCCTTGTTTTTCCAATCGTCCTTCGCAGAAATTTCATTTCGGCAGCGGTGATTCTGCTCTTCTGTCGGTCTGTTAATATCCAACTCTCCGCTCCATACAAAAGTATGGGTAGATATACCGTCTTGAAGATGTGTAGCTTGACATCTTTGCCTACTTCTCCCTTCCCTGCCACCGTGTAACATATCTGGTAGGAAACTGCATTAGCCATGTTAATCATGTTAGATATTTCTTCGTCTATCTTTCCAGGTCCGTCTATCATTGTACCTAGGTATGTGAAGTCTGTCACCACTTCTTATTCTTCTCCATTACAGCATATGTGGATGTCTTCCTTCTTTCTTCCAAGTTGTAGGAACTTACTTTTGTTGGTATTTATAAGCATCCGTTTTCGTTGGAGCTCTTCATACCATTCCATAACTGCCAGTTGGAACTGTTCCACTGAGTCCGTAATCAATACTACATAGTCAGCGTAGAGGAGAAGCTGTTTCACTACAGGATTAAGATTCCTATGTCCCAGGAATGTCCTGTCCGTTCTTCTCTTACAAATGGATGCCACTTCATACATGGACAACAAGAACAACAATATTGAAATAATTTGATTCTAGCCCGTTCAGCCTGATTATTCCTTTGGGCTCTTGATACATAGATTTAATCGCCTCTGTCAGATTTCTCGGAACGTTCTTCGCTCTGAGACACTATCGAATCCAGGACTTAATTTGGAGGGGAGGCTTCAGGTTGTTTTTTCTTATATATATAACGATAATTACTTTGGAAAAAAATAAGCTACCTATATGAAATAGTGTTTAAGTTATACTTGAAGTCCAGTTAAATTTAATTAATTACACGAACAATAATGCTTTAAGAAATATCTTTTTTTTTTATATGGAAAATATTTTTCCATAAAACAGGTTTTCATATTACCATTTTTGGGGGGATGGGGATGGGAGCATCAGCCCGAAAGCTGGTTTTATATTGCAGCTGATTTAATCAGTATCATCAGCTGATATAAATTTCTAACAAAATCTGTGCTTATATCCAAAGTGGGCGGGATGGCCGAATGGGCTAACGCGTGTGCACTGCACCGCCATTGCCCGGCAACCTGATACATAAGACTTTGATAAAAAAAATAGTTACGAGATCGCGTCCCGGTGCCTGGAAGAGTTTTTTTGTGGGCGCGGTGGCCGAATGGGCTAAAGCGTGTGCACAGCACCGCCGTTGCCCGGCAACCTGACATATGAATCTAATGATATAAAAATAGTCACGAGTTCGCGTCCCGGTGCCGGGGGGGGGGGGATCTTTTAAATAACCGCCCACACTCGCTGGCCCGGGAAAATCCCGTATAGCCTTAACGGCGAGGAAGGGAAGGACAAAAAAATAGACGCACTGTTGTTACCAAAGTCTGTTGGAAATTCCAGTAACACGTAAAAGATGTTGCCAACAAAGCTGGTCTTGAATCTATCTAAAAGTTATCGAGCTACATGCCAAACTTGTGGAACTTCAATGACTGTAAAATACGTTTTGATAGAGCCGAACGTAAGAACCAATTAGAATATCTTGGGCTTACCAAATGACCTACATTTTAGAATACAATAGGAATACTGCTGACAAACTCTTTAATTTTCTGAAACGTACGGAATTAGACAATTTAATACTTACTGTGCGTTTAGACATTTCACAAACTGAAGGACAAACTGCAATGTTCCTAGACATCGAAACAAAACAAAATAGTTTGCTTTAGCAATAATTTCACTGTTAGTTAAGTTAGATAATTGTTTTTGCCGTAGTTTGTGAAATGTCTAAATACAACTTTAAATACTGACATCTTGAATTAAATAATGGTGGTTGACGCCTTTAAAATATAATTTTAAAAAAGTTATTTAGTAATGTTGACGACTCCGGTATAAACGCGGCTTTATAGTAAGATAATAGTTATACTGGTGTATAAAAAAGATAACTACTTAAATCACTACCAAATTTTTAAATTTTCGACTTGCATAAAACTGAAATCTAATTAGTTTTGAGATTAAAGGAATAACCAGTAATGTATGCAGTGAAAGTGCGAAATTAGCATTAAAATAACAAATTTGAACTGACGAATGTTTATAAAACAGCAATAGATCAAATTTAAAGTTAATAACTCCGTCTTACCAGTGGTTCCCATCCCACCTAAGGCCGATGGAGCTAAAACCTACCCCTCCCTTTCCCAAGATGTTTTATTGCTCACCTTTTCTTAAACACAGAGGAAGGGAAAGTAGAATTAGAAAAATCGTATATCATACACAATTACAGTTGTTGCTGTCTGTTGCCCCTGTTCTGAAACCTTTCATTCTGAAAATTCATGACCCCGTTGAATGTTTCCCCTCAAAAATTCAAAAACACATCAAAATATTCCTCCCTCAAAACTGTTGATGCGCAACTTTCTGCATCTTACTTCTAATTAACTCAATTAAATGTATGACTAGTTTTATTATTATAAGGATTCAATAGCAAAACCCAGCTGTCAATCTTATTTTAAATGAAACATCTGGTTGTTTTAGACTGATTTTTTAACCATTTTATAAAAATTAGATCGGACTAAAGTTTTATTTGTTTACTTACTAATTGATTTGAACGAGCATAGAATATATTGTGAACTTTGGTGCCTTTTCATTTTAAAAACTTAAGGGATCTATCGAAATCACATTTTTTTTTTAAATATATCATTGTCTAAATTCATTTACATATTGGAAATATATTTCTTAAAACGTGATTTTTTTTTTTTTGGAATAAGTAATTGTGAACATCAACAAACAAGTATTCTTTGGCAGATGAAAACCTCCTGAACTTTGCTTGACTGAACGATTCAATTTTTGCTAGTGTGTTCAATAGTCACCTGATCTGTGTTCTGGACCTAATATTTCTTTATTCTATAATTTAACTCTGCACAAGCATCAAAATGTTGGAACCGATAAGGCATGCTCTTGACTTTCAGAGAATTGTATTAGCGAGTGTTTCTCCAAGGAGAAGTGAAATATTACATACTGTAGTAAGTCTGATTACAATTTTATCTTTTCAAGTTATTTTTAGTTTTAGTGTAAATTATTGATATTTGTTTTTAATTGGATCTGGTTTCTGTTATGCCTTGAAATTTGAATAATTCAATTCTTCATAAATTCAAATAATATATCCTATATTGAATTCTTCAAAATCATCGACAGGTCCAAATCTCGCCATAAATTATCCAGAATGGCTTAGATATAAAAATCTATTAACAAGTTCAAATTTTATGTTGATTTATTCTTTGATTTTTTTGTTGTTGTTTCTTATATACTGTAAAAACGTTGGTATCAACTGAGTTTTCCTATTGTTATGCGATTGTTAACAGGCAACTCAAATAATCTCATTTATTTTTTGTTTATACATATTATTTCATGGAAATATAAAATTAATACTGTTATTATCAAGTCTACCTCTTTTGACTAGGAAACCGTTAATCGTTTCTCTAAGTTTGGAGTGAAAGGAAGGCAGCCGTTGTGATTTACTTAACAATGATGACTTATGTTGTAAATACTTTTTTGGCATTACGGTTTTTGGACATTTTTGAAGCTCCTAATGACTACCTTGGTGCTGTTAAGAACTGGTGAAATAACTAAGAGAACTGTTAGGGATGAGAGGGAGGTCTGAGAGATATTTAGTATTTATCGTATATTTAATCAAAAGAATCTCTTGAAATTCTTATAATTTAAATATAGGTAGGAAGTTTTTTAAAATGAAAAATGGGCTTTAGATTAATCTTCTCGTATAAGTTTTACTATATTGCGTATAATTTTCAGGGGCTTAATTTTGAAATCATGCCATCATTATTTGAAGAAGATTTAGATCCCCGTAAATTTCAGTCACATGGAGATTATGCTGTTGAAACGGCCTACAGGAAAGTGCTTGATGTATCAGAAAGATTATCTAATGATCCAAATCCTCCAGACATAATAATAGGTGCTGACACTGTTGTCTCTCTTGATGGAAAAATATATGGAAAACCTGAAGATGCTAAAATGGCATACAAATTTCTAGAACAGTTAGTATGTCTTATATCAAACCAATGAATAATGTTTTATTCTTATAAGGCTAAAATCAGTGACATAATTATTTGTACCTAGTAAAATTTCTAGCTCATGTCATTAATACTGGGGAATATTATTAAATACAACTCAATAAAATTAATGTTCCTTGTATTCAGTTCTTTGTAAGGATGTACTGTTTCTAAACCAACTGTTGTACAAGTTGATTTTATTTAAATCATAAATGCCACACATTTCTCCTTAATTAATTATGTGTACCCACCATATAGAGGCTGAGTGTGCCCTTGTGCAGTCTCCTGGTTCCAGGATTAATCTATCTATTACAATAGCTAATTTAAGAGGTTAAATAATTATCTGCCTTTGCGAGACTCGAACTTGAAACTGGATGATAGAATCTTCGTGGCTTACTCACTGAACTACCCCTTTCCTTGTTAATGAATGATCTTTAAGTAATATTATCTGAATGATATTTAGGTACTTTTAGATATCAAATCACTTCATTTTTTTACACAGCTTTACGTGAATCTCCACTTATTTCATAATAAACTTCAACTTAATTAATATCTATTTGATTATTATAAAAATCAATTATAAGTTTTTTTTTCTATAAGTGAGGACATGTATTATATTTGGAGAGTGATAAAAAAAAATCTTGAATAATTCCTGATTTTTTTTTTAAACAGTATTTAGCTTAGTTTATCTGCTCAAGAACTCTTTAAATGGTTTTAAAAATGACAAACTCTGCTTCTGTATGAAGTAAATTTTGTCTAGTTTACTGTGAAGCAATTGTTAATTACTTAAATTAAATATTTCTTTAGTTATCGCTTCCTATTTATCAACAAATGTATCACATAAAAAAAAAAAACACTAAACAATTTTTGTTTTTCTCTCTATCTAATTACAGAAGTCTTGATTGTTTGCTTATTATATTCAATATTATGTTGTAAATTATATTTCAGTACTTTGAAATTCATTGCTTATAAATATTTATTATATTAATCTTTATTAGAATTCTCTTAATTTTCAATTAGTAAAAATGAAAAAACTATTACTGCCTATTTTTTATTGTATAATTTTTTTAATGGTCTTTTAAATATCAATAGATAATGAAGATTTTTTTAAAAAACACTAATTTGCTCCAGTATCAACAGTGGAATTATTAATCATTCAACTCTCATAAGTAATATGCTATTTCACAGTTTTTTTTATTTCATTGCAGGTTAAGTGGTCGACAACACACAGTACATACAGGAGTTGTGATTAAGACAAAAGAAGCAACAATTAAGTTCTTTGAATCTACTAATGTGCAAATGGCTTATTTGGCAGAGGATGTGATTCGAGGTTACATTAGAACTAAAGAACCTCTGTAAGTCCTGAAATTTAATCATGGAAACTAATAATGATTTAACATGCGAGAATATTTGAATGTCTTTTAGCAAAAGGGAGCTTATCTGCAAATCGTGCAAAAAATGAGGTTAAGGTAGTTTTAAATAGAATTAATGCTTATCATTTTTAACAGAAATAAACAATCTCTTGGTTCATACATGGACAATAGAAAACAAAAACAGAAGTTCTTGATAAATCAGCTAATTTAATTTTTGCTCAATCTATAATATTATAGAAATATTTTGATTTGAATAAATTTAGTTTTGTGTCAAAAAATGAAATATACTTATATGAAAACTTTCAGATTCACAAAGAAATTTCTTTGACTTAGATTTATGCAATACAATTGTAATTTAGATTTTTTTTTTTCTACCAAATGGTTATGATTCCACAAAAAAAGTTTTGCAGTATTATTTGTGGTTGTGAAGTTAAGCTCTGGTTGCTGTAAATTATTTGTATAAACTCTTTGGAATTTATAATATTTATTATTTTTTCATGATATTCCTTAAATAACACTTCTACAAAATTTTATTATTTAAGCTGTTAAAATGAAAGTGATGTGGTCTACTAATTAGTGGAAAAATGAAGTTCCACTTCTCTTGATAATTTTTGATTTTAGAACAAAGATAATATTTAGTCTAAAGAAAAATCTACAATTTCAATTTTTTTGGAAATACTTTTATTAATATAGATATTATTAAACTTAATTTCTGTTTCCTAGCGATAAAGCAGGTGGTTATGGAATTCAAGGTTTTGGAGGAAGTCTAATTGAAAAAATAGATGGTGACTTCTATAACGTTATAGGATTGCCATTGTACAGCTTTTGTAAACATTTAAGATGGCTATATGATGATAAGCTGAAGAGAATAGAACTGTCCAAAACGATTGGTGAGTTGAATATCCTGTATTATAGAATATCAGAAATTTATGCATTGCCAGATTAATCTTCTTGTTCTTATGGCTTTATAAATTAGGCATATGTCCAATTTATTTATTTTTTAGTCTTTATAGTTATCTGAAAATTTATAGTAAACTGTTCTATGTTATCAAAATAATATTTTACTACTTTTTTGATTGAATCATTCAAATTTTTTCAGCACTCAAAATTAACCATCTTTCTTAATGGATTATAGGGCAATGAATTATAAAAGATTAAACAAACTTTATTTCAATTAATTACTACCATTTTTCATTATTATACATTATTTTTAATATACTACTCTGAGTAATAAAAAAAAACCTATATGTAATGTAATGTAAACATAACCACTTAAAAAAATCAAAAGTTTTGGTATAGATATAAGAGTTTTGAAGCAATCACAAAATTCTTCCATATGATTTGTTGGTCTATCTGTATCAATTTGTTTAAGAGGTTAATAGTTTGATCTTTAAGTATAGATGAATAACTTAAAAGCAAGAAATGCTTATAGGCCACTGTTAAGGGGACACAGCAAATTCCTATTTAATATAAATGATAAAGAGAAGAGAAGAGAAGCAACAAGGACAGAGTCTAGACATGCAGAGGACCTTCTAAATTCATGTCCACTTAAGATTGGAGCATAGCTGGCCAGCAAGAAGAAGCACATTTCTACTTAATTCATAAGAAGAAAACATGGAGTAGTACCTCAAGAGGCCTAGCAAGGGGCCAGATGACCGGGGAGGGAGAGAAGAATGAGTGTCAGAATGCAAAAAGTACCTAACAACTAATTTTCCGCCACCACCCACCTAATTCACTTCATTTAAAATAGTTTATAATATGCAGACCAAATCAATTAACATACTAAACCTGATTGTAAAGATTCGGCCTCAATAATTCACATCATAGACACAAAATACAGCAATCTTATATTACTTGTAATCCAATCATTTAATATAGCAATCCCATTAACCCCATAGCATGATCAAATATCCTTACCTGCAGTCCACAGCAGTCAACTTAGAATCAGTGCCCTACAGCATGATTATTAAGTCAATATCCCTAACAGCCATGGATGAGATTGGCTTAATAGATTATACATTTTTCTCTTGCCTGCCAAGAGATGAGAGCAGTACTGCTTGCTTCATCATTTAATTTAAATTAAATTGGAATTAGCTGTGTTCCCTTAACAGCCAGATATAAAGGTTAAAAAAGAGACCATTTAGACATCAAAATAGTAAGAACTAACAAAATTTCAGTTATTGATTTAAAAACTTTACTGAGTTTTACATTCTTTAAATGCAAAATGTTTTAATTCATTTATTCAATCATCCTTGTTCACATCAAATAAAACACATGTTCTTTTTAAAATAAAATGATTTAGTCAATTAAATTGCAACAGAAAACATGAACCAATTTACATTCCGCTAAAAACATACAAAATATTAGATTTAGGATATACTACACTGAGATATCGAATATAGTAACTTAATACTACTATTAATATGGTAATAGTTGTTCTAAATTATAAAGATATAGAATAAAGATAAAGATATTTACACTGAGCAGTGACAAGGATGTGGCATGACTGTGGCCATGATTTTGCAGTAGATCATTTCTACCATTAGATTTAAACTTTCAGTAAATAATGTTCAATAGCTAACTTGTTTTACCTAGGCCCAATGGCAGCTTTTGATGTCTTGTCCGAAGGTAATAAAAATCTGAAGAAGACCTCTCAACTGACAACTTCTCAACCGAAAACAAGTATGAAAGTATTAAACGTCAAAAGCCGAGAAAAACCAACCAAGACAGCTCCTTCATGATTAAATAAATTATAATAAAAAAAATTCAGATGAAATGATTTTTTTTTTTCAATATTAAAAATTAATCATTATCAATACTACTTTCAGTCATTCAAAAGTCTATTAAAAGACTTTTGTGAATTAGATAATTTATGAGGATAAAACAAAATTGTCAGGAATTTCAGTCAAGATATTTTTATTTTGTTAGCTAACGTTTCGACCCAAACATGTGGAACATCCTCAGGGCTATAATTTGGAAGTCTTAGATTTCTTGTCTCGAATTCTAAACAATAGCCCTGAGGATGACCCACATGTTTGAGAGAACCCAATAGACTAAAATTCCTGGTAATTTTTTTTTATCCTTATAATTGATTAGTCGACTACTTACCCATCTCTATAGATTATTAATGATTAATAAAGCACTCTGAGGTTAGGCTAATTCTATTAATCCCCTCAATACAAATTTAAAAAAATATTTTTTGAACTACTAGATATGATTTTTGGAGAACACTAGTACTATTTTTTTAAAATTTTCATTGTCTTTATTTGACTAAATAGATCTAAACTTGAAAAATATTATATTTGTTAGGAAATAAATGTTAAATAAAATCAATCTAATAACGTATGGTTTTCATAATATTTTTAAAAGTATCAACTAGAAGATATGTTGCATATTGCATTTAGGAAACAAATTTTTTTTTTCTATCTTAGCAAAGAAATCATGATGTTAGTAACTGATATATGTAAATAAAGTTTAAAAAAATGGTACTTTATATGAAATCTAGATATTGAAGCAACGCTCAAATTATAAGGTTCAATATACAAAAATGAATAAAACTGAGTAGATTTTTCATTGAATGTAAGTGAATGAAATTATTTCTTTTTAACAATTGTTAATCAAGTGTCAATTCATTTTTCAATGTTTCAAGGCCATGTGGCTAATTTTCAGGACCTCAATCGCCATTGAAAATATTTATGTTTCTTCTGTCCAATCATTTTATTTAATAGGATGTATATAAAATATGACCGTTTTATCAAATTAAAGATTTCAAAGGATTGTAAATATTTTAATCTTATTTAATACTTACCAACACTTAATAATCCCTTTAGAGCTTTCTCTAAGCTTGTTTAACCCTATTTGACTTCTTAAAAAAAAGCCTCAGTTTAGTTATTTGTTTCAAAGAAGAAATATAACAGTGTCCGACGAAATTCACGTAATTTTAAGGCATTACTGAAAAAAAATTTCACAGCCGCTGAAGCAACTCATGAAATTATGTAATATGTAGAGGAAGGTGTCCTTGACTAGCGCTCTGCGTGGAAATGGTTTGAAAAATTAAGCAGTGGAGATACGACGTTGGAAAGGAAGAAGGGCTCCGGGCGACCATTAATGAATATTAATGAGATTCTGCAGAAAGCTGTTGAGTCAAATCCATCCACATGTACTCGCGAACTTGCCAGGGAGTGTGGTGTGTCCAAAGATACTGCTAGTTGCCATCTTCTCTCCATGGGGAAGGTGAAAAAGAGCAGTAGACTGGTCCCTCACGAACTTACTCCTCAGCAATCAGCTTAGAGTTTAGAAATTTGTGAAAATTTATTGAAAAACCCTTCTGATATGAGATTTTATCATAATGTTGTCACCTGTGATGAAAAGTGGATTTACTGGTGAAATCTGAATACCCGTGAGCCATGGCTAGATCGTGCTCAACCTGCTTTTTCGGTTGCTGCAAGGGGGCTATTTGAAAAAAAAAATGCATGATTTGCATTTTTTGGAATTTCGAAGGTGTTATTCATCAAGAATTTGTTCCTGATGGATGTTCTATGAATTTTGATCTCTACTACTACAAACAGCTAGAAAGATTTTATGCGAAGTTTTCAAAGCGTTTTCCTGCTTTGTTCAATCGAAAAGAACTTTTATTCCAACAAGATATAATGCTCATCCTCATACTTCCCGTCGAACCAAAGAAAAGTTTAATGAACTTCATGGGCTTGAAATCCTGCCTCATCCATCATATAGTTCAGAACTCACACATTCGGATTACTACTTATTTAGATCCATGGCCCATTTTCTTCAAGGGGAAAAAATTTGATAATTTTGCGGAAGTAGAAATTGCAGTTCAAGAGTTCTTTGACAGCCATCCCAAAGAATGGTATCAGCGTGGGATGGATGCAGATGGCCAATGGTGGTAGATAACAGTAGACTATACTTTGAGTATTAATTGTATTTTATATCAAAGAAATAATAATACAAATATTCGGTTGAAAACTTTTTTTTTATTTTATACACCCTATTATATTTATTTTAACAGCTGTGTCAATTTTTTTTAAAGACAAATATTAGACAAGGAGCATACTAAACCTTTTTGCTTTTCTCTATCACAATATTACACACCTACAATTATTCAAATGACTCAATTTTTTCCATACGAATAAAGAAATATATTGTTTTGCGTTACCGTTAGGCAATGGATTATACAGAAAAATAATGAGGACGAAATTGAGAAAATGAATTAATTAAATTCAGTGGGTGGTAAGTACGAGAATAGTTTAAAGAGTTTGACTATGTTAGTTAAAACAAATCTGTTTTGTCTATGATATGCCAAAACTGTTGTGAATTCTTAATTATCAATAACCCATTTCTAAATTTAATTTAGTACATTAAAATGTGTCCTCATTACTAGGTTGAATTTTAATCATCAAAATACTTTATTCTGTGCATTTTACAGCTAATTCTGTTTAATCAGGACATCCTGAACAGAGCTTATGCCTATCTAGTCTTTTGTCGATGCAAGCTCACATTTGTTGGTTATAGATCTATCAACAGCATCAGACATGTTTAAAATTGTAATTATTTGTCTTCTTGTTTGTGGAGACAGTGTTTGAATTTTATTTTTAAACTTGTGTTAACTTTAACCTTTAACCTCTGATTTTGTGGTAATTCATAGAGTCTATAGTTTGTTTTGTTAATTATTCATGTATTCTTATACACATTTATACATTCTTATTATATTAATAGAATTTTTTTTAAATATGTTTTATGTCGTTGACTGAACACAGAAATGAAATTGAATTTTTCAGGTGCAGAGACTCATCAATCAGAAAATGGTGATCATTCAGAAAAGTAAGGAGGGGACTTATTTGGAATTGTCTTCAGTCCGACTTATAACTTACATTCCTCTCTAAACGGGGTCCATTTTTGGCATTATGTATATGTTTATTACTTAGTGTCATTATTGGGTTTATCACCCGTGTTTATTTCAACAAGGGTTTGATAAACAAATTTCAAACTCCCCGTTATAAAACCATTGGATACATTATACTATTATAGGGCTCTCAGAATATCTCAATTCAATTTTATTTACAGTTACCTGATGAAGATAAGTAAAATAAAAAAAGCTCCACGTTTTGCTACCACTTGAAGTTAACGAATGACATCGATTAAGTAAAGTGTTCCTTGTAAAATGTATCGGGACTCGAACTCGTAATCTTCAGTTTATCAAGTTGCCGGGCATTGTCGCTCGGTCATTCCACCCCTCTTTGACTATAGCTATGTGATGTACGGTGGCCTCTCAATTTTACTCGAGGGCATATGGAAGTGAATCTTGAACTGCTTTTTAAGATTTGCCTTAAGTATCCTGAGGTGGCCTCATGGCAAGCTAAAGTGGCTTTTCTCTTCCTTACTTATTATTTTCCTTGATCTTACCTATACCAATAATCTTTGTAAAAATAGACCTAGGTTTTATTGTTTTGTTTTTCATTTCAATTCACAATACAAATTTATGGGTTCAAAATTAAATGATGTTATTGAATTAGTTTTATTTGTTATTTTAACCTTTCCCCAGTTCCTGTTTAATTTGTGTAAAATCTGTTAGTTTGTAATTTTTGCTGTTTTATAAACTTCCTGCTGACCTTTAATAGACAGATAAAATATTTATTTTACATAATATTTTTTATATTACCAAACGAATTTTCGACAGTAAACTTTTATTCTTCTGTTAGTTATAAACCTTAAATATAATTGTAATTACCACCTTTATAGTGTTATGCGTTTTGACATTGTAAGTATGATAAAATTAATATCTTTTAAGTTAACCCAATCCTAACATTTTGATTAAAAATTGTTTTTATTTTCATTTGGCCATAACCTAAAAGCAGGTAAGAAATAAATGATATTCTTTATTATCTTCTTTTACAATATGTTGATGTATCGGGGATGTATCACCATCCTGATCAAAATATGTTTTGAAAAATGAGGTAACCAAATAGGTATATATATTACTTTCATCACATAAAATTTATAAATTAATAAATTATTTGCTCACCTACTTTATGCTGCCGCAGATTAATTATTAAATTTAGTAAGAAGACTGTATAAATAATACCTATTTTAGCCATTAACAAACCCAACTGCAAAGATTTTCTGTTTATTGTTTTCATTTATTTTTACTTCTGATAGTTTTAATTAATTTATTTTATTGCTTTTAATTGGCAGATTGTAATGTATGATGTATGATTGTGATCCCTTAATTATAATAATATAGAACAAGTCTAGAAGCATTCCCATGCTATAGTTAATTTTTTTAGTGAAAATCTGACCCTCTTACCAAAAGATTGGGCTGGGACAGAAAGTACCTTACTCCTCTTCTCCTTTCTATCCCTGGTGCCTATACTTTAGATTGAGGAAGTTAGTAGCAAGGTACCCAATAATATTTTTCTATATGTTCTATCTGGGACTACTTTATATATTTTACATCCATCATCAAATAAATATTAAAATAAAAACAAAGTTAGCAATAAATAAACACTTTATTTCACAGTATAATTAAAATAACTCATCGAGATAATTTGTCTTGTCTATAATAAATACATTTCATTATTATATATAATCTAATAACTAAAAACTAATACAAATTAAAGCTAGTTTATAAAAAATAATAAATTATTAAAATCAATTTACATAATATACATTTATGTACAGTTAAAAAATCCACAATAAAATTAAGGCCATACAACATTTTCAATCCACGGGACGTAAGGTTGTACTTTGGTATATACTGCAGGTATTCCTGTTCCACACATCTTTCCAAAAGATGTGATTCCTGTTACTTCAAAAGCGCACTTATGCCCTGGAAGGAAAGTCTGAAGTGGTCCTCCAGAATCACCCTGAAAGTGAAATAATGGAATTGGTATTTCTCAATTGCACTGAACTTAATTACATTTATTTATGAAAAATAATATGGATCCATTTGTAAAAGATCCATTATAAACCATAATCTTAAAAAATCATTGTTAATTTTTATGTGCTTGGGAAGTATTAATGGAAAAGTCTCTTAGGTTATAAATTCTAAATTTTAGGAGTAATTTTAATGTAGAATAATAATCGACATTTTCAAATTCAGACTTCTTTTGTTTTCTTATTTTCAATTATTTACTTACAATGACTATATTCTTAAAATAACTCAATACCACTTTTTTCTTAATTTTTAAAGCTGGGCTGAAATGAGGGGAGGGATGTTTACTCCCCTGAAGAATTTTGAGGGTTGGTTAATTTCCAGTGAAAGTTGATTCTAGGTTAAGTAATAATATTTGTTTCTGCTTTTAGATTCTTTTAAATTTTAATTCAGTTAATAAAATATGTTAATTGTATTAGCTGATGATATGTATATATTATGAAATTTATAACCTTAATGCTTCTATAAAAATCCTTGATGATTATTGGAAAATAGGGAGGGGAGGTAGCGAGTCTAAAAGAAGTGGTAGAATTATGCCTGCCCCCTTAATAAAAACTCATAGTATGGCTCTGTTTGGAATAATTAAGATAATCTATTTGACAGAAACCATAACTATTTTAAAATGGGTCTGAGGCTGCTTGCTAGATTCAGGTTATAAATTATTTCTTACATTTAGCTCACTTCATTTATCAGGATATCAATTTTTTTAAAAAACTCAAATCAATGATAAGTATGGTACTCGGTTATTCCATATTGTAGTGAATGTGGTACAAAAATATATTTATTCAGGAAGAAAATTAGGACTGAAAAATTCATTCCAAACATCGTCTTAAAAGATCGTTTTTTTTTTTTTAATTTCAAAATCCTGTCATTTTTTAATTGTAAAGGAATAGTGAAGTAAAAAAAAATACTCATAATGATAAATTTGTCTTATTTTGGGAGGATCTTAAAAACTTTTACAAAATTAAATAATGACAGTTGGAGTTTATGATGAGATAAAAAAAGAACATAATATGAGTTATGTTATTTCCCTGTTTTTATATTGTAATACAATCATAAATAAAATAAATTAGTACATGAAAACTTTTTTCAATTAATATATTTCAGCTTCTTATAATGGTTATGGATTTTGTTGAAGCTATGTTGGTAGTTCTGTAATTTATACCGCGCTTTGTGTAATTCTGTTAATTAATGTAATAATTTGAATATTAGAGTGTTTTTTTCCTATCCTCTTTCAAATGTAAAATAACGTTCAAAATTTTATGTAGTGTTTTTCTAAGTACAAAAATTTATTAAGTGTAAGTATATTTTACATAAATTATTCAGTATATTTCTAATATGTAGATCTTAGTTCAGAATAGGTGGTATGATATATAGTATTATTTAGTTTACTTCATTGAAAAAAGTTATTTAAATCTGGTATGATGATATCTGCTGATTAACAGTCAATTTTAGAACTTTTAACGATTGTTTGAATTAGAATTAAAGTTAAAGAATTCTAGTGTAAATGAAACAAATATAATTTATTTTACAGATTTTCTCTGGGCACAATAGTAGAGTAAGTATCATAATTGTTTTTTATAAGATAACTTCTGGGATGTATTTTTAATGTTAACAATAGATTTTATGTATACAAGTTAAAAAAATGTTGTAATTGATTTTATTCAAATTGATCCTATACCACTTTTATTCCAAACAGCGCACTTTTAAATTTCCATACTTAATTAAAAATATAATTTTGTATTACCTGGCATGTATCATGGTATTTGCTTTTGTAACCTATGGCACAGATCAGATTCTCGTTGATACCTTCTTTTAGAGGAGAAAACTTATAATTGCTTGAATAGTGTTCTTGACATTCTGTGCTATTTACGATTCGTAAAAGCACTTTTAAGAGATCCATACTTGCTTCATAAGCTAAACAAAACAGAAACATTTGTTATTTTCATAATAAAGAAGAAGAAAAGTAAATTTTATCCTGGGACGTTTAGTTCCTTAAGAATAATGTTAATGAACAATATGAATTACATTTAGATTTGTCTGGCGCATAATGGTAGGTGAAAAATAATTCATCACAAAGTTATGTATCACTAAAATTAAAATAAAAGCTAGATAGATTAATAAATAACCGAGAAATAGCTAATAATAGATTGAACTAAAGCAACACGAAAATAAGATTATTTAATTCTTACACATATTAGGAAGATTGTATATCTGAAGAGATGGGAAAACAATTGGTGTTAAAGTTAAAGATGAGATTTTGTGTATGGAGGCAGATAAGGAATTTCAAAATAAAGCTGCACTCATGGTAAACAATATTTCAAAGGAAGCAGTTCTATGAGGAGGAATAAACAGGTTTGTGGGCTGGGTCCTCATGTTTAAAGAATGGACAGAGGTGAAAGGAGTGAAGAAATCAAGAATGCTAAAAATTTTGTTCTTTTGGTTTGGAAAAGAAATAAACATAGAAAATATTAAAGATCTGCAATGTGGGCACAAACTTTTGCATTCTATAAATAGTTTTTTACTATTTTTTTTTTATGTTAATCTTAATGGTCACATGCACCATCCTCTTCTTAAATAAAAAATACAGTTAACTGTTCAATTTGCAGCCATTTTTGCTTTAGGCCAATTTGATAAAGTAAGCAATATTTATTTTAAGTCCACTAATAATTATGTTTTGGTAAATTAATGGTTGAATGAATTTTTAGTCTCATTATATGCAGTGCCGGCCTTACACATTTGTTGCCCTACCTGGGCAAGGACATCATCTCCCCCTCATTAAAAATAAATAAATTAATTTTTTTAGTTTTATATTATATAATATTTGAATTTTACATTTCTCTAATGCAGTTGCTTTATGATAGGTTAAAATTAATTATTTTAATAGGTTTTGTATTTGTTTTTTATTTCTAACAAGTGACGAGCACTCTTGAAGATCGGCCGGTGCCCCAGGGGAATTGCCCTGGTTGCTTCATCTTAAGGCCGGCTCTGATTGTATTAGCATAGAGAAAGAATAAATTTACAATAGTGGTAATTTAAAAATTACTATTTACTACTAGTGTGCAATTTGATATATATTTTTTTAAAGACAGTAAAAAATAGTGATACTAAATAAAATAATTTAAATAAATATTATAAGCAGAGTAAATTTTAAATAATATTTAAATTAAAATTAATAATAATAATTAAAAATTAAATAATAATTTAAATTTAAAATTATAATTGAATAAAGTATTGATGAAACTCCTTAAAACAAAATTTTTGGCAGAAATAATACTCCATCTACAAATGAGGCATTTGATACTGATAATCTTTCTTAGATAAAAAAGTACTCAAATTTGGTTCATTATGAAATCCCCTATCTTTTAACTTAATTTATTACGTTAAAGAAACAAGTGATTCAATTGTTTATCTATGATATAATAACTAAAACATTTTTAAATAAAAAATGCCTCGTTACCTGGTCCAGTTTTCCCCCAGCCAGTAGCAATTGTAATACTTCCAGCATTATGTGCCTTTGATTCCGGTTGAGGGATGCATGCTGGTCGAACATATTGTGAAAACTTCACTTCCTCTTTCAACTCTAAAATAGCTATGTCGTTGTAGTACGAAGATGGTTTGTAGTCTGGGTGGGTTATTATCTTTGCTACTTTTGCTTCTATACTATCTGCACCATAGAGCTCAACAGACCCTAGCATTACTACTACTGGATTACCCCTGTAAAAAAAAAAAACAATTAACTGTTCATATTTTAATATTTTTAAGAACAAATTGTAACATGATAGTGTTTTTAACACATTAAAGGCGGGAGTCGTAGTACTACGATTTATCTCGACTAGCATACTTTCATCAAGATCCCCCTCCTTTAATGTGTTAATATGAATGAATCACAAATTAAAAATATCAGTACTGCATGCTTTATATTATGTAGAACACAAACATGTTATTCCATTTTTCTGTTGAAAAAATACAAATCATTAAACTACAGTTCTTGACTTGTAGAAAACTTTTTCATTTTTATTACTGTACTAAAAATTTTCTTACCATCTTGTGTTTGTGCAATGCCCTGCTGTAAGTATGTGTTTCTCACTGATCAATGTTCCTCCGCACAAGTAGTCTATGAAGTCAGTTTTGTTAAATCCAAGAGCAGCCTTAAAAAAGAAATATATATATGTACATACTTTTCAATCTTATGAAATAATAGGACTTCTGTATTTTGTTTGTAAAAATTATTCTTATTAAAAAAATGTACTTACCATGTGTGGAAATTCTCCCCTGACAACAGCTTTTCCACCAACAACTAATGGCTTGACAATAGGAATGCAGTTGTCCATTACTATTGCAAAAGGAATTATCTCAGGTAGTACTGGACTTGCATATGAGTATTCATATGTAAGATTAGTATATATCTTGCAATCTGTAACATTGAATATGATATTATATATATGATGATATAATATTGTAACCTGTAAATTATATTCGATTAAAATTAATTTTATTCCTTGGTGATTTCATGATCAATATTCAGTGGTAATAATTAACAGTTACTATTGCAATGCTCGCCATGTAAAATAATTCATGTTGTAACTTTTTTTATAAAATTGTAACTCTTCTGACTGAGTCATTAAGTCCTTAAATTTTTAATTTTTTTTAATGAAATTGTTTATCATTAAATATCATCTCTTAAACCATTATTTTTTATTCTCAAATATCAATAATAATTCTCTTTTCTCTAGTTATCTCCATATAAAGTGAACTAAATATCTTTTAACATTAATCTGTTCATTACTTAATTTACCACTATTTAAACATTCGTTTTTATGTATAAATAAATGCTGTAAATCATCAGGAATTCATTCATATAATAGTATGATAAGAATAATGATTATCTTTCATACAGAACTTTCATTAAAACAACTCTTCATCAATATATAAAAAAGTTTTAATTTTTTTAATGAATTCCATGTGACACTAATCGATACATTAGAAGTATGTTTCCAGGACTAAAAAAGTGTTGTGTTGTTTTGTTATCAGTGTAACATTTTGCTGAAGAGTGCAGATAGTATGTTCAATCCTTTTAAAGTCGGGAAAGCATTTACGTCATGAGCTACCATGTATTTCTTTTAGTTTCATTTTTGTTATACTTATTATTATTTTAATATATATATCCTGAAAAAATTAAGTAATAGACAAATAATTTATAACAAAAAAAAAGTATGCCTACATCTTATATTATATTGGTCATTATTCTTATTACACTATTATATATTGGAATAAAAAATACAATTTACTCCACACATGTATATTAATAGAGTAAATGACTAAGTATTATATTTTTTTAAGTTCTTAAAACTTCATGAGTATGTATCTAGTCTAAAAAGGGATTGAGAGAAAGTTAAAAGAGATCTTACCCCTTCTGAAAAACAATTATCAGTGTTTTTCATTCCATCTTTGATGACACTGAGGTTTAATAGAACACCTACAAATTTAATTTTGCACTAATAAAATTTTCCAATACTTATATTTTTTTCCCCAAGAAGGTAGAAAATGAACACATATGTTTAATGCAGATCCTAACAAGAAATTATAAATGATCAACTTACATTTGACACTTTTCCTGTCTGTCTCTTCAATTTTGATCACAGCATTATACGTATCATCGATTCTTGGTGTGGTGGTAGTTGTAGTTGTAGCAGTTGCGGTTTCTTTTCCATTTACTTTGTTAGCGGATTCTGTTTCATTAATTTTTTTTAAGATGTAATCGTAATCTGAATCAGATAAACCAAATTCTGAATTTAGTTCAGGCAGTGGACTAGGGGGTTCATAGAAAGGTACATCCCTTCTTATAGGCATAAAAACACTTGTAGGTTTTCCAAAGCAACAGATCCTGTTAAAAGGGCAGTTCTTTTCTCGAACTTGCCTACTCTCTGGACATCTCACTTTGCAAGTCAATCTGTCTAGAGCATCCACGCAGTCTGAAATTGAAAATTAATCAATAGTCATAATTTTATTAATGGATCGTTTCGAATTTGAAATTCTTAATAAATTTCATATTCTAGTGCTTTACAAAATCATTCATGTAACTTTTAGTTTTAAAACATTCAAATTAACAGTGGTAATGCAATAGATATGATGAAACAATTGAAATATATATGTTAATGACTACTTTTAACAATTTCAGTTCAATTTTAGAGTAAAATAATTTATTTTTTTCTGGATTGAAGGAATATTAAAAATAAAGTTATCATAGATTTCATGTATGTGTTTTTGAACTTTGTTTTATTATGTATATAGTTATTGATCAAGGGTTATTTTAAAAATAATAATTCAGATTTTTTTTTTTAAATATTGCTAGTAAAAGATTTTTTTTAAATGGGAGTATTTTTTTTGTTCAAATGTCTGTTTTGCAAAAGTCTATAATTTTTTTTTTTATACATATACTAAATTGTGTTTTTTCCTATTTGTAAAGTTAATCACAATCAAAAAACTATCAATAGAATTATTGTTTTTTTGATTTACCATAAGAGTCTTCATCTGCTGAGACCTTTATTAAGAAACCTAGGAATAAAGTAATTTTTATTATCATGGTAATACTGATATTGAATTTTTATATTACAGGTACAATGAAAATCCTAAAATATCCCACACAGTTGCACACTATAAACCATCAACTACTGTCAACAGAGGTAATTCTTAATGTTTACAATACAAGTTTCTATCATGTTAAGGTGAGTTTGTTGATTTGTTTTTTTTCTTTTATTCCACAACTAAATTTGTAATAATGTGTTGATATTAAATGTATATATTTTTTACATTTAATTAACAATAGTTAATTTTATGGAACTATTACTATCCCCTTGAATTTTTCAGAAAGTTTTATTTTATTTTAATGAGTTTTATTAATTTAAAAAAAAAATCAACACATTATAAAACATATTAATCTAAGTTATTATATTAATAAAAAAATATGTGTTTACAATTAACAATTCTGTATAAAAACTGTCATGGCATTAAGGACCTCAAAAGGAGAAAAAAAAAACCTATGAAGGTGTGTCCGCAAACGCTTTGTTTAGTAGATATTCAAACCTAACGATTTTGATTGTTATGAATTATTTATGTTATATTAAGTAAATATAATATATTTATTTATTCCAACTACTTTATTAATTAAACGTAAACATTAAATTCATATTTAATGTTGTTCAAAGTGATTTCCTTGAGCATTAACACAGGTTCGTCATATTTTTTTCAACAGCAGCAGTGGCAGAATGGCACTGGATATGTGTTATTGTTTCGCAAGATTCAATTATTCTTCTTCGTAAGGAATTAAGTCATAGAGCGGACTTGCATAAACATTCTGTTTAATGTCACTCCAAACAAAAAAATCCAGTGGTGTCAGGTCTGGAGAGCATGCAGGCCATGCCACTGGTTCTGCACGGCCAATCCATTGATTGGTATAATTAACTTTTTTATTTTTTACAATAAATTAGGCCAATTTTCACCAACATTTTATTGATACGCATTAATTTGATGTTTCGACCATACTATGGGTCATTTTCAAAACTTGATGAGTCCTCCGTTATATGTTCATCATTAATTTTGTAATTAATATGTTCAGTGAACATTAACTTATGTTATATAGGGGCTTGACCCTTAGTATGGTCGAAACGTCAAATTAATGCGTATCAATAAAATGTTGGTGAAAATTGGCCTAATTTATTGTAAAAAATAAAAAACTTCAAGACACCAAAAGTAGGAAAAATGAACAGAAGGTATAATTAACATTTAATATGAGTGTTAATATTTAAATTTAATTAATAAAGTAGTTAGAAAAAATAAATAGGTTTTAATTATTTCATTTAACATAACAACAAAAATCTGTAGATGTGAATATCTCCTAAACAAAGCATTTGCAGACATACCTTCAGAGGAAATTTTTTCCTTGTTTTGAGGTCCTTAGTTCATTTTTGCAGTGTGGCCACTTACCCCTGAAACACCCTGTATATTTATTTCTTATTTCACTTATATATTAACTATTTTATTTTTTATTTATTTGTAATTATTCATATTTATTTCCCTATTATATGAATGAACATTTTTAGCCTTAATACTACTTATTGCCATTCTGTGTGGCAGATTGTTTTATTTACTATTCAATTTTGTTTTTTCTAGTTATTGTACACCCTAGATACATATACTTCTCTACGTGTTCAAAGATATCTCCTTCTATATCGATATCACCGGCAATATCGCCATTTTTGGAGTTAACCATATGTTTTGTCTTATCTGTGTTTATTTCGAGCGCTAGTTTTTTACCGCCTTCCTTTAACGTTTTCGTATTTAGTTTTATAGTTTCCTTGTCTTTGCTTAATAGGACCAGATCATCCATATAGCCAAGCACGGGTGTTGTTCCACCCAGATCCAACCCTTTTTTGGTACGCATTACCTCCCTAATGGCATGTTCTAATGCCAAACCGAACAGGATAGATGAAAGGAAATCACCTTGTTTTAAACCCGAACAAACCTCAAACTTTTCGGATAAATTATTACCGATTCTAACTTTATTGACTGTTTCTGTCAAGCACATTCTGACTCGATTTACTAATTTTTTTTTGGTATTCCCTGCTCGATTAGAATATTATACAGTTTTTAGCGGTCGTATAATAGAATCGTATAAGCAACGGAATAGAATCATAAGGCTTTTTGAAATCGATATACAGCTCGTGAACAACACCATTGTACTCTAATTTTTTCTCCAATATCTGCCGTAAAGAATATATTTTATCTATAGTCAAAAGGTTCCGCCTAAATCCGTATTGGTAGTCTCCGATAATTTCCTCGGCATATACCGTGATTCGACTAGTTGAAATTAAAGTGAATATTTTATAACATACAATATTTTATATATTTTATAACTATTTTTTTTAGATGTTAATAATAATTAATTACGTGTTTTTTTTAATTTACTCATCTTTAAGTTATTTTATTTTTGTATCGTATAAACAATTATGATTATTACTTCTTGATTATTATTTATTCTTGATTTTACTTCTGTTTATTTTATATATGTATGTCTATATAATGTGAATGTGGTCTTACCTCTCTGTAGCTATTGTCCAAATGACAGAATGAACAAAACAAAGTAAATAAATACTAATTATTATTATTTTGGCATCTGCCTGGAAAAATTAACCATAAGTTATATGCATTTTTTAAAATTTATTATTATTCTTACTCAACAATTACCTGGAGGCGCAGCCACACATTTGTAGCTACTTTTGCCGATGCAAATTTCATGTCAATTTAAAACAAATTTCTTTCAGAATTTGAAAAACGATATAAATGGAAAAAGTGATTTTTTTTAGCAATTAGATTTATTTCAAATGTATGTAGTTAATTTACATATCGTTTTAGATTATTTCCAGTTTACAAATATTTTCTTCTTGAGAATCTATGTTCTTTATGACCACTGCAATAATCTGATTTTTTTAAAATTATTAATTACTATACTTTAGACTGTTTAGGATGTAGAAAATAATTATTTTTTATCGAAAATTAATTTAATGCTTGGGTAGAAATTGGGCTAGCATTTTAAATGTTAAGGGTACCTATGGAGGCAGTATATTTTTGGTCTATTTTAAAATGTAACTAGTTTGTTGGATTATAGGTTTCTTAACGTGAAACATAGTGCTATAAATTGTAAAGCGTTTGGAGTACAGTTGAATGATCTAGGTTAAACAGTTGCTGGTAGGAAATATCCAATAAAGACAACAGGATATTATCAAGAGTCGTCAATTGGGTTGTGGGGAGATCATCCGAATCGCTACTCTCACCCTCCATTTTTTTTCTTTACAATATAATAATTTATTTTTTATTTTATATCGATTATATACTCTTGTTTATGGTATCCTGTCTAACATCCTAAAAATAGAACTACAGGGAGAAATATGTAATATTAATCATAATTATCTTATTAGATATACTGCGGTTTTCAGGCGTAAAATATCGAGGTCATCAACGCCTGAGTTTAATTTTGTTTATCGTTGAATTATATTTAAATTTAAACTTTTAAATAAATTGTTTAATTTAAAAAATTCAATTGTAATTTTAATGTCTTCGCCATTTTTAAGGATGCTTGATATTGGGGATGCGAATATGGAACTAGTTAAATTTGAGATATAAAAAGAACTTTCTTGAAAAATGTTGCTAATCGTAAGTGTACAATTATAGTGTTGGAATTTTGGTAGTGGCTGTTTGCTAATGTGATGTGAATAGGTTAGATTGGTATGGTATGTTCTCAGTCTGGTTAGGACAACCTCTTCTCTGCGGATAGGACGATTTGATGTTGGCCACGGTTTTACTGTTTTTGTTTTTCTTTTAAATAAATTGATCTCTGTCTTTCTTTTTTTGAATGTCCAGGTATATAGGGAAAGTATTGATGTAATATAAAAAGTATTAAAATGTTAATGTAAAAAAAGTATTTTTGAGTAATGACCTAAGTTATAGTTTATACTTATATAGTTGATTCTATACCAATGATTTGGAAAAAAAAATATGCAGATCCTTTTGAGTTACATTAAATATACTATAAATTGGATGAATAATACTTTAAATTTAGCATTTTTCATTTTTTTTAAGGTATTAATAATAAGGTTTTCAAGTTCGTCCACATCGTGCGGAGTGGATACCTTTTCAGTAGTATAAATATTTTTTTATAAATTTGTCTTTATATATATAGTATTATATTGTTCCTTTATAATAATTATGTTACTTATCAAATATAATTTTTATACATAATATAAACTCCATTTTAAAATAAATCCAGTCCTGTGTGAATGCGTTAATGAGGAGGAATATATTTAATATCGTCTGCGAAAGAGGTACATAAGTTGAGAACAAATAATATTCTTTTTTAAAAAATTTTAACATTATATTTTAATTAATTATTTATTTATTACAACTTATAGAAGTAAAAAAACGACATTCGATGAAATAAATGAATGACTAAAAGACGAATTATATTATAATGATAGATTTTAGGAATTTTATGAAGCGGTGCATGATAGGTAGGTAGATGATAAATTTTTTTTTTTTTAAATTTTTATAAAATAGAATTTGAACTATATAACTGATAGTTGTTAAATCAGTATGTGTTTTATAAGGATGGATTTTGAACTATAAAAACTGAATTAAAATTAATTTGCAGAATCTTGAAAATGGCTCCTGAAGCCGAAACGTCGAATAAATAATACAGGATGTAAAAACTGTATGCATGTTGTGACCTTTGGCCCAATATTTTATAAAAAACTTATGAGAAAATGACACCGAACCTGAATGATATGACTAGAATATAAACTCCTTTAGGTCCTATTGCTCCCTTCCCCCAATCAGAATGAAAAGCCTACGCCTATGAAGAAGGCAGAGGCACTACCTCATATTCGAAAATTATTTTTGTGGTAAATAAATAAAAACTTTCTCACTTACCAAAAGTCACTGTAGGGTCGACCGTATACATTTTACTGTAAACATACCGCAGATAATCGAGGCTGACTGTTGGAGTCGGGGTTGTAATGGTGCGTCTTATTGGTGGACATTTTATCCCCAAGCGTTGGTAGTAGTTTCTACACCGACCCTTGCACCAATTCCTTTGGTAGTAACAATCTGAAAAACATAAAATTTATAAATCATTAAGTTTATTATTTAAGTACATGGAATTGTATTGAAATTTTAGTCGTAGCT